ATAAATTTATTTGTTTATCTGAAAATAAAAAATATTTTTATTATTTAATATATATATATATACTTTGTTAACTATCTTTATTAATTTAAATAATTATATGCAAAAATATATATGTGCATAAATTTATTTGTTTATCTGAAAATAAAAAATATTTTTATTATTTAAATCAACTAGCCTCTTTGTCACGTTTATATAAAGTTAACTTGAAAAAATATATATTTTTGTAGTTAGTAGTATCTCATTATAACATAGCAAAATTGAATTAAAACGGTAAAATTTTTCATTTCAAGTTAGAAAACTCAAAAAGCCAGTTAATAATTAATGAATTGATATATAAACAATAATTTATAAAATTTGTGATTTCAGTGATAAAATTGGATTAATTAAACTTTAATCTATCTATTTAAAGTCTTTTACTTGAATTAAACTTTGCACAAAAATTATTGTATTTTAAGCGTACTATACTTTTGTAAGATTACATTATTTGTATAACGTAAACTTTTTGTCAAATGAAAAAGCATTAATTTTGAGCTTTAATTTGCTAATTAAAATTTTTCTTTTGTTCTTTTTATTTCTGAACTAAATTGCTTAAAATTACATAGAAATTTCTCAAAAAAAAAAAAAAAAAAAAGAAAATTATGCAAATAGTTTTTGCAACTGAAAACTGATTAATTCATTCGCTTTAAATATTCAGTTTTGGTTATGCGCAAATTTTTTTACAAGGCGAAAATTGCATTAGATAACATAAAAATAAATGAAATGCACAAAATTTGTTCTAAATTTAATACTTAAAAACTTTCAGTTTTGTTTTACAGTTCTTTGCTCACATCCTAGCACACACATTGAGTGATTATTGTATTATTTTCATTGCTAAAATTTCAAACTTTTTCCTATCAAAATTTTTTATTCTTTACTTTGCATTCGCATTTGCATTTGCAATGATTACTACTTTGTTAAATTTCACGTGGTATATTCGATTTGATGGAAAAATCCGTGAATATTATTCAGTTTTTCAGTTAAATGCCATAAAATGTGTCCTTGAATTAAGTATAATGTGGCGAGTTGTTTCGAGTATTGATATTTTATGCTTGCGAATATATTCAAAAACTTTTACAATTTTCTAAAAATTACTAATTTTTTCATTAAAAAAATTCCCTACCAAATTTATGTATTACAATTATCAAGTAAAAATAATTTAATTTGTAGTTTTAAGTATATAAAAGTCATTATTTAGTGATGTTGCATAGTTTCAGCAGTGAATTTTGCTTATTGTTTTACTTAATAATAATGTAGAATTTTTATTTTAGTATTTGATTATTAATATAAGAATTAATAATAAATGAATTAAAATTTGTGTCATTTATTCATGATAATGTGTATTATTATGTAAAATATTCAACAAAAAAAAAATCGCAAAAAAATTAAGTTATGAACTTAATGAAACTGAAATAGTTATGATATGATTAGAATAAAATTGTTCTTTATAAAAACTTAATAAAATAAATGATAGCTTTTATATACTTTGTTATATTATTTTATTACTTAATATTAATATAGAATTTTTATTTTAGTATCTACAAGGACTTTTTTGCCAATTTCCACGCTCTTAATAAAAATTTTTGAATATCAGAGAAAAAATCAAATGGATTCTAATTTATGCATATCCCGCAGAATTTAAATTTATCGTTTTTCGTCAATTTTCGGTCAATAAATTTTGTAATTTCGTATATAACATTATACGAAATTATAAAATTTATTCATTTCCTTTTTCAATTAAAATGATATCGCTTTATCAATTTCTTTTCCAGTAATGATCAAGTATGTAATAATTTTTTGCTTGTTTCACGTATTTCACATATTTTTCGGTTTAAAAAAATGGGAAATAAATCAAAAAAAAATTTTTGATCTTTGTCAATTAAAAAAAATTTAATATTATAAATTTCGATTAATAATTTAATACAGGGGAGTTGCGTCATCGGAGCAGTCACCCAGTAGTGATACGTCATTGATACGTACAGAAACAACTTCTTCCACATTTTATGCACAAACGAATAACGCTTCAACAAGCGTTCACGTGCCATCAACCACGCATCGCATTCAACGCTTTATCAATTTCTTTTCCAGTAATGATCAAGTATGTAATCAATAACTGAACTACTTAATAGCGAGTATTTATTCGAAAAAAATCATTCAGTAGGCAAATTTTATTTGTATTTTTGTGTTCGTCAGAAATTTCATACAATTATTTGAATATTGTTGTTTTCTGTTATATTTTATTTTTCGTTTTGCATCTTAGTCGGATAATTATTGCTATATAACTCTACTTGACCTTTCATGTTACAAAAAAATTAGTGATTGATGTAGACAGGTAGGTTAAGCAAATTATTTTCAGGCAAAACAGCGCGAATCAGCGATTTCATCTCCGATTGAGCGATTCCAATCTCGACATCATCAGAAGGGTTGTGCTGCTGGAAGTGTTGATAGAATCAGCAAGTCATCTTCGTCAGCTTCAGTCATACCTGTACGAAATGTTTGCAAACAAGGTCAACTTATGCATCAGGCAAGCACTACACTTCTTACTGTCTAAAGCATAATTAAATGAACAATCAGTATCTAAAATTTTTACTTTATAATCTTTAATCTAAACATTGATTGATTGGAAACTTTAATCTCTTTAATAATTGCATGAGGTCAAGTTGCATTGCGCAAAATTATATAGCTTAATGTTTTACACAAAACTGCGCATGTCTGATTAATTTTACTGAGTAAAAGTGGTCATAAAAGCTATAAAGTATTGTCCTCATAATGTTGGTTCAAATATTTTTAGTATTTTTGTGCTTCAATATAAAATATCAGGATTTAGACAAAATATAAAGTCTAAAAATATTGCTATCGTAGCTCAAGTTTGTATGACTACAGTAACTGTAATAATAAACTGTTTGTAAGAATAAAAGTAATGAATAAGTAATGACTGAAATTGATAATATTTGTAGGAAGTGGCAATGGGTGAACTATTAAAAAATGATAGGCACAAATGGAAAACATATTGGGCAGTGCTACATGGCAGTAATTTGTACCTTTGTCAACAATTAAATTCATATATCAACGATAAAACTAATGAAAAAGTTTGTAATTTTATAATAATTTAATAAAATAATTATTGTATTTAATATTACTGTAATTTCAGTTACTTAATATTCCTACGGATGCTATTGAAATTGATTTAAAATTAGCAATTGTTGACATTGCGTATGAATATTGGAGACGAAAAAATAGCAGTAAAAGTTACGTATTTCGCGTGATTACTCAACAACAAACTGAACATCATTTTCAAGTTTATTGGTATGATTTAATCCAAAAATATAAATTAATATGCAAAATTAAATTTAAATAGAATTAATATCATTCTTATTATACAATGGTTGATAAATAATGCAAAAAATATTAAGTGATAAAATTTTACTTTCAAAAATTTTTTTGCTTACTTTATAAACGAAAACTGTTTTTATGTTCGCAGAACTGCTAATATAAGCATAAAATATGTATTGTTAAAGTATTGGAAAGTTTGCTGGCATTTTATTTAACAAACTTTTCTGTTTTTGCTTTTTTTATTGTACATGCATTCCAGTGAAATCAAAATTATATCTAAAAAATTAAAAACTATATTTTATACTTGAATAAAATTTCAATTATTTCATAGATATATATAATTGAATAATGAAAATGATTAAAAATAATTAAAAATACAATATGTTTGCAATAGAATTCGAAATAGTATATTTATATGCATGACTGTTTGAAGTCAAAATGAAAAACAAAAGTACTGATTGATACTTTACATTGCATAAATGTTGAGATAAGGTTTGGTATTACTTTTTTTAATTAGTTAAAGTATTTATTTAAGTGAAAATGATATGCTAAATTGGATCGAAACAATTCGATTGACATCATGTAGTCCAATAAGATCACGTAGTGATCAAGCCACTACTACTACCGCGGATCTCGTAAGCAATACTAAATCATCAAATTCAAATGCTTCTGTAAAATCAACAAAGTCGAAATCAGCTGATTCGGTTAGATTTTTATCTATATTGATATCACATGCAATTTAGACTTGTTACTGGTTTGGTTCTCATTTACGTCATTAACACGTGATTTTGATAAATCTAATATAAACCACTGTTTACTTTTCACTTCAACATTACTTGAAATTAAATTGAAGTTGCTAATGATAAATGCTTTTGTTTCTGACAAGAGTAATTTGTTTGGTAAATATGTGCAGACGAAAAAAGTTTATATTATTATATTATTTCTTATTAAATTTTTTTAAATTTACTGAATACTTTTTTCAAACTCAAACTTTAACAACATGCGGTAAGAATTGAAATTAAATTAATAATACGTTTTCTGATTTTATTTTCAAAAGTTTTTGTAAGTTGAACATTTCGGTTTTACAATTCAATTAGTGCTTTAATTCCATTATTAGTAAATGATTGCTTTATTTATTTCGTTTCTTTTTTTTTAAATATGAAAAATGAATCAACTCAGTTCAGTTAGGTTGAGTGAAATAATATTTAAATCCAAACGTGTAGCATACTTGAATGTAAATTTATCACTTATTCATTACTAATTCAAGTTCAGCACAAAGAAATTCTTACTTATTAAGTCTGATAACAATGCATCTTTTTTTGTAAAAAAAGTGTAAAAAATTATTCATGCAATGTTGTCTTGTGTTGTGTTGTGTTGTGTTGTGTTGTGTTGCGCTGTGCTGTGTTGTGTTGTGTTGTGTTGTGCTGTTCTCAACTATCGAACCTTTTAGGCATCAATTATTAACAAATTTTTTGAAGAGTTAAAGGAAATTGAGTAGATTTTAGTCAATATATGCAGCTGCTTTAATACTGGCAAAAATTATGCTAGGCTTAGTTTATTTCTCTAGAACGGGCCTTAACTGATTATTTACGGGCCTATGAGCCACTTGTGTTTTTCATTACTGCTCTAAAGTACAGCCAATGAAAGCAAGACTCTTGGCTAGGTGAACATAGCCAAGCCTTACTAGGCCTGACTAACTACTGCTCTTTTCCCGGCTAAACTCTATCATATATGCACAGCTAGTTGTCAGTTTTCATTTTTGCTAAACTTGTTCGTCATTTGATATTATTGTTCATACTAAAATTTTTAATCTACTACACTTTTTTAGTTCAACTTTTATTTTTTACCTTTTGATCTTTAATTTGACTGATTTTGACCTTCTAATCATTTTTTTGATCCCTCAGTAGGACTTTCCTTATTTGTGTACATTTAATTTAATCTTGCTAATTGCTGCGAGTACGGCAGTCAGTTCCTCTCTCTTTATTAGTTATTAAAAGTTTATATTTGTTGACATTTCAAAAAAAATATTGCTTAATATTTTTAGTGCTTACTGCTTAATCAATTTGAGATCAAAGTTAGTAATTACTACGTTAACCTTTGCCAGCATTGTTTAGAAGACTGACACGTCGTAGTAAAACTTTGCGCAGATAATGATAGTTCAATGCGAAAATAATTTTCTCCCTTAAGATAAGAAAAGCATTGGAATAACTAAAGTATTAAGTAAATAATAACAATAATTTAATAAATACTTAAGAATAATTGCTGTTAATGCTATTTACAACAGCGATAATATTAGCAATGGCAGCAGTAATATCGCTGACACCTTTCTATTAAATATTAAATTACTTTTTAAAAATGTGCTATTGATTGAAACAATCAGAGGATTGATTTATTCATCGAATATTTTTTTTAATTTTAATAATCACATTTTACTGAAACAAATGTATGGAATAAAGTAATTGGTAGCCAAATGTTGAAGGTTGGTATTGGTGGCAGCAAATTTTGCTAAAATACAAAGGTCACCTTGATTATTTGTAAGCATGCATCAAGGCTACATTGAGGTCAATATATTCATGTAGCTTTATGTTTTAGAAAAAAAGATTTGCTGACCACTCCAAACGGTCAGTTAGATTATTTGGGTTCAATCAAAAAAGCGTTACTTTTGTATTTTTGTTCATAAAAATATGATAACTTATCAGCAATTTTTTTTTGTCCATTTTTGCGTAGAAATGTGTAAAAAATTATTTATTTGTTCAATTTTTGTCAGAGAAAAAATTTTTCATTTTTCGTTATTTTGTTCAATGAATACATTAAGTTTGTTATTATTAATAAGTAACTTAAGGATTTTTGTTTTTATTTTTCGAAAAATAGTCATTTTTCTATATGGCATCGACGAGAAATAAGCATACATCAATGATTTTCATACTCGATAAGGCTTCTGAATACGTATTTAGAAGGAAAATAAATTAGTTTGTGTAATCAATTTAACGAATCAAATCAATTGTTTATTTAAAGACTAGTAAGATCAAAATAGATAGCAGAAATTAGAAGTTGATATAAGGGTCATCATAGGTCAGACAAACTAAAGATCAGTTTCAATTTATTATATATCTATAATTTTTGCAAAATAATTTTCTTTTTATTTACAACAAAATTCTGCTATTTTAGTTTTTATACTTGTAAATTTTTACTAATTGTCATAATTTTTGGCTTTTGCTTACTTTTACATAAACTAAAATAGATTTCGAGTAATTAATTAGTGTATTTTAAAATGCTTCGTAGTGTAAACAATGAAAATTTAAGTTATTTTAATTGCAAAAATATTCACTGATTCAGAAATCAAAAATGTTTTGTCAATTTTTTAAAATTTCAATCACTCATTAATTAATGTAATGGCAAAGACTGATTATCAATACGTTTAAGAATTAGAATAAATACATAAAAATCATATACAGAAATATGCTTACTCATTTTCTTTCATTTAATCGCAATCAGAAACTGCATTCATAACTACTGGTATAAATATGCAAATTTTAGCTACAAATGGTCAAACGAGAAAATAAACGATTAATTAAGCAAATTTAAACCAAAAATGGAGAGTAACTGAAGCGGCTTGAAGCTTATCTCCTAGCATCTGCTTAATTAAATGTTTTCGTTCCGTTTGTTAACGCATAAAACATTGCCAAATGTATTCATTTAAATAATTGATTTCAGTTATGTAAAAAGTAAATTTGCAATTAAAATATATCTTTAATTCAATTACAGTTATGTAAAAAGTGAATTTTTTAATTAAAATATATTTTTAATTTAATTACAGTTGTGTAAGAAGTAAATTTTCAGGTGATTCAATGATTAATTATTATTAAGTGATTTTTTTACAATACTCAAACAGATAAATAGTAGAATAAAACTGCACTGATAAAAACAACACATAAAAATAATAATACATTAATGAATTAGAAAAAAATATGGTTGATAAATCAGAAATATTTCCATCTTTGAGTGATTACTTTTGATTTCTTTTTAGTTAATTAGCAAAAGTATACTCGAAGTGATTTGTTTAGTGTAATGAGAATGATCTAATTGTATTTTACAGCCGCTGATGTAATGATGAATGCAACTAGACTTCAACTTGTAGTCTAAGCTTGATTTAGTTTGCTTGCCTCAGCTTAGTCTAACTTAACTTGGCTTGATTTAATTCAGCTTTCTTGCTGAAAAATGAATATTTTCTCAATTTGCAAGTTTTTGCTCGTTTTTAAAATAGCATTTGTAACTCTTTTCTTGTTAAAATTTTCAAAAATTTATGTTCAAACAAATGTGACAAAAATTTTAGGAAAAGAAGAAATTAAATTAGTCAAGTTGATTGATTGTTGATCAGAAATATTAATGATTTATTTAAAAATACAAAAATCATACGGAATTTCAATTACAGTCAAAAGTATTTGCAAGAAAAGATATTTTTTTCTTTCTTTGATTTGCAAATTTATTGTAATTTTTAAGCAAAGTTCAGATTATCTCGAAGTTATGATCATGAGCTGTGATAAATTTTTTCATTTCTTACTTTTTTCTAATTTTAAAATAAAATATAAAACGTATTGTTAAGTGATTTTGCTATAATTATAGAAATTATCAAATTAGGAATTTGAATTACTTCCAAAATAATACAGAAATTAGAAAAGTAGAAAAAAAGCAGAAGATAATTAATACTAGCTAAGTGCTAATAAAATATTAATAATAAGCAGAGAAGCAGTGCTAATTTTCAATCATAGCAACATTAATGACGATATTAATAAAGAAAGATAACGGTAGCAAAATATTAGAAGCCCATTACTTGTCATCATAATGATAATGATAGCAATGATAATAATAATAATAGTAATGATGAGAGCTTTGTAACTAATTGCTATAACGAAGAAAAATAATTAGCGAAGTTATGTCTGTCAGAGAAAATATAGCTCATAGCTTAGTTAATTAGCTTTGCAGCATTTGAGTGTGAATCAGTCTTGCATGCTTAACAGCTGGCCAAGACTTGCAGCTAAGACTAAGCTCATTTCTGACCAAACTAAACTGGACAAAACACACGTCATTGAATACTTGTTTTGATTTATACTTATATTCCTTTTCATTTATTCTTACATTACAGCCGCTATATTAGTAAGTAAAAATTTTATTTATTTTATGCATTTATATTTTTTCAATAAATGATTTAAATGTATAGAACAAAGTATATGCAAATTATTATCAGTTCTAGTTTTTCTTTCTTTTAAGTAATAATTAATTTTTGTGAACAAATTTTACTTCTATTTGATATTTTGTTTAGTAAGTAAGTAAGTACTTTAGGGCTTAAAATTTGAGTATATTTGTAATTGCGTCAAAAGAAATGAAGTAAATTTAATTTATTTACGCTTGCAAATATTATTTCTGTTTTTAATTACAAAGCCAAAAAAAATTTAGAGAGTAAATTGATACTTTTACTTACTTTTATCCAATCAATCTGCAATTTTGCACAATTCATTTATTATTTTATTCTCTATTATTTACTTTCTTTTTTGCTGTTTCTTTGAGTATGCAAGCTGTAAGGTAAAATAATATACAATAAAACTTTTCTTAGCAAATAAATAACTTCTTACGAGTTAGTTAACTGTGAAATAAATGCAAATATGAAAGTTTAGCACCTAAACAAGTTCACTTAATTAAAGTGTTTGTTCAGTTTGAGCCAAAAAGTTGAAGTAAGAGCTGATTGATTGATTGATTGATTGATTACAAAAAATATTTCCAGTTTTTCAGATAAAAAAGTATAAATTTCGTCAAGTATTCTTTCATATTGAAAAAAATAGTAGCAAAAATGTAATTTCAGAAACATTATTAATTTTATAATACTTTGCGTAAATCAAATTTCAATACAATAAAAATACAAGTGTGTATGGCGTGCGTGTGTGCGTTTGTGCGCGTATGAGTGTATGCGTGTGCTATGTATGTGTGTGGGGTATAGGTGTGCGTACACCTGTCTGTTTTACCTGTGGCAAATTTTATTGAATACAATTTCGAGGTTATCCTTAATGATTTTTCATTGTATTGTTAGTTTGAAGCAATTATTATGCATACTTGAAATATTGATGACTCGCAAAGTAGTATTACTCGCCATAACTTTGCAAATATTAACTCATAATAACACTTATTTTGCGTGGTTGCTGATGGATGCATACGCACGCATCTATCAGTAAGACTGACTGACTTTATGCATATATTATTCAAAATCAAGGACATTTTTCATTAAATTAGCAAAAATTTGGCATTATTCAGTTTATTTCACGTTAGCACGCGTAATCTTATTCTTTGCTCTAATTTTTTTTTCTTTTTTTGCTACAAAATTGCAATCAGTTTACATAACGTAACTGAATTAAGCTACAACGTGAAAATTATTCTGCTGAAATTATTAATTCCTTCATAAAATGGCGAGCAGTGTTCATAATTTGTCATTTTTTATTGCTTACAACACTTTCTGCCATATTATTATTATCGTCTTATTAACAATAACAGTAATAATAATAACAATAATAATAATACAATAATAGTGAATAATATATTAAAATAACATAATAATGATAATAATAACAATTCAAATAAATAAAATGCGAGGGTTAGTTTTCGCTCTCGCTTTATTGGTTCTGGCGCTTATTATTATGATAATGATAGTTATTATTGTCATGTGATGATAATAATAATAATAATAATAATCAATATGATGATGATAATAATAATATACCAACTAATGATATAATAATAATAATCATTATTATTATTGCAATCAATGACAATAATAACTATCATTATCATCACATTGATTATTATTATTAGTTGATATATTGCTTGAAATTATCGTGGTAATAATGATAGTGGTAAAGCATCATTATTTTCATGATTAATGCCATAACCTTTGCTATTATTATACGAAACTTATTATATATTAAAATAATAGCAGCAAAAGCCTTAAATGAAATAATAGCAAAGTAATGTCAGTGAGTATTTAAAAATGGATATATTTGCAAGTGTTCTGCTTGAATTTCGCGAAAAGAAAGTAAATGAATTTGAATTGCTCACATTGGCATTACTAAATTGAATGAATATAAGTAAGAAAGGAAAAGGAATAAATGAAGTTGTAAAGCAAGTTCTGTGCCAATTTGAGATATGAAAGATTAGTGCTGAAAGGACGGAAAATAAAGTAAGTAATGAATATTATTCTTATATTCCATTTCAATATATCAAATAACAATGTGTTGCAGATATTTTATCATTCATTTGATCAATCAATACTTTCGCATTTATCATAAATGTGATCAGTTTATTTTTATTTTGCTTTATTTGAATTTTTCATTATTTTCCTACTTCAAAATAAATAATTATAGAGCTTATCATTTCAGTAACTTACCAATCGGTCACGTGTTTTACTTACTATCTTTCACGTATATTATTCACGTAAACATCGATCTTTTGCTTTGCATTTTTAATTAAATATTATTATTATATCCATACTTGATGTGATGCTTTTAAGTTAATATTGTGCTTATTTTTAACACAAAATTAAGAAATTACTCTCAGGAC